GACGCCTTGCATAGGGAATGGTGAATTCGCAATTAACTTTTCCTCGCTCTGTAACACACCTTCTAATCGTTTCAATACATGCTGGCGCGTGATTTCCGATAATGACGTTGTCTGCAACGTCCCAGTTGGATTCGATAATCCTGAATTATTGCAATACATTAGCAATAATAGTATTTTCGACTATGCTCACGTTGGCGAGACCATAAGGCTTTTCCGGAACGGGCATAGACCAAAGACGAATATCCGTAAATTGCTTAAAAAGGAAGAGGATGTGAGTAGTGAGCAACCGGAAGTAACCCCGGCTGCTCTTGAAGATGATAAACCGGATAGATTCATGCCACCTTTTGTCAAAGATCATCTCGTGCATAGATATTTGATGGCTTTGCAAAAGGCGAGACCGCACTTCTCGACACCACCAAAGAAATCAACACCAAAAAAACCAGCAACTTCAACAAAAACCCCGCCTAAGCCGAACAATTAGATCCTTAAGTGGATTGATTTGTATTAATATCTTTAGTGTTAAGCAGTGACGCTGTTTGAAAGTGTTTACCTATTATTTCTGTAATGGACGCGCATTGTAGAATACTTGGTAAATAAAGTTTAATAATATTACTTTTTGTTTTGTAATTGTTTGGTTAGCAATTCGAACCGTGTGGCTTGATGGTAACTTAAACTAGCCAAATCTGTAAGCTTAATGCTACAAGTTTAAAGTCATGGATCATCTCCCGAAGATTCTCCGCAGGTTGCTTTTAGCATGGGTTTGCCGATTGACAATAGAGCTTTTTAAATATTATCCATTATTTTTTTTTCTTCAAATTATAACTAACACAAAACTGTTTAAAAAGCGTCGGGAAATGTAAACTTTTGCCTCGTATCTCGCAAATACAACTTGGTCAGTAATTGATCGCTGCTGCCACGAGACTAATCATATTAAGTCAACCATATACTTCATTTGGTTAGCATCATGCAGTACCGTACGGGCTCGATTTTATACTCTAAGAATCTAATTGCTACTGCTATGCCGTGCTATGCTTCGCTTCTATGTAGCCGCTTTACGAGTTTCGTATCTTTTTTTATATTTCCTGATGCCACGCACGGAATTATGATATACACTAACTGCATACGGCATTGCATAGAAAGTAACAAATTTGATTATAAATCACTTGCCATTAAAAGTTCTATAACATTTTTAGTAGTTAAGACATTTGCCATCGAAAGTTCTATGCCATTTTTAGTAGTTTAGACATTTACGCTCGCCCATCACAATAATTGTTAAACGATATTGTTTTATTGATTGATTATTAATATCACTTGGCTAAAGCGCAGTTTATGCCACATAGATCAAGCTTGATTCAAATCATATGCACTATAACAAGTATAAAGTTTATACAAATTATGCTCGCCACATAGCGAGTGCGGTGCCACAGATTAAGCCTGATTACAAATCATTCGCCATCAAATGTCTATAACACTTTAGCAGTTTATAATATCAGGATATACTCGCCCCGTCACAATGATTATTAATCAACATTGTTTTATTAACTATTAACGTTTCTTAATTAATTTCGCTCAATTTCGGGTAGGCTGAAGCGGCCACATAGCAAATGCCACAGATCAAGTAAGTCCCAGATTTACCATCGGCGTTACTACAATCACGTAATAATAACAAAGTTTAATGGTCTTTCCAATTCTTTAAAATTATTATTAGGTTAATTTGCGGAAAATAATTGTCAAATTATTATTGGGGAAACATTTGTCAGTGCATATAATTTCTCTTCCAAACTTAATACATTTGCTGCTTTTAGCTTCTTCTCTTTTTCTTTTCTTTTTTCCCAATAATCAATATCTTTTACCATACTCTACTGTATTTACGAGTTGGCTTCTTGATGTATATCATTCTAATAAAAGTATCGTCTGATAATTGCTCTAATAGCTCTAATTATTATTATATGCTTTTTTACTATTTGCGTTGTTGTTCGGCAATATCCTATTTGCTTGCCAATGTTAGTACCATTAATTAATCGTTGTACTCCATATTAAATATCTTCAGCCACAAACTGACTAAAAATCTCTAATTGTAGGAAGAGGCTAAAGCGAACAGAACATAATCCAACCAATATTTCCAGTTTCATTAGATTGCGTATCTACTCCGCTTTAGACATGCCCCAATCTTATCTTAAAGCATAAAAAATTTGTTCATGTTTGCATTGCGCAGCAGGTTTTTTGCTACTTTAGTTTAAAAATCAAAATTACAATGACAACATGTAGTAATATATTTTATACGCCACATCAGCGCAACTCGAACAACTAATTTCGGGGAGCTGCCGCAGAACAACAAATTTTGATATCATGTGATAATAATAACGATCAAATCACAATAAATGTGCTATTCAGATTCGCCCCTCAAAATTGGGGTTAAGTTTTCAATGAAACTATCTATACACTTCCTACTACTCTCCTCTATCATATCCCGCACTCTCTCTATTAATTCATTAACAGTAAGTCTGGCTACCAATACTTCTCTTCGTATATGACAATTTTTCGACTTCGTAGCTATCTAATTTATAGCTGTTCTGAACCACACTTTACTGGTCCCATCCCTATTGAGCATTGATGATTAATATTCAAGACGTTCTTCTGAAACGTATCACCGTTCTAATGCCGTAAGTAAAGTGTTTAATATTAAGACATTTCAGCGTTCAAACATCGTATTCGAATTTCAAATACAAACGCACGTAGCGTTAAAGCTAATGTGTCAATTGTAAAATCTAAAACGGATGCGAACTTTTGTTTTCGAAACAAATTATGATCTGATATCACATGTGATATTGTGCGGTATAGCCACCATAGTCCTCTTCTCTTTCTGCGCCCTTTCTTCATACTCTCCATACTTGTACGCACAGATTTTGTTCATTGAAGTAAAGGTTTCTGGTTTCTTCTGCCTTCTTAATCTAAACTAGAGGAGTTTTCGTTGACTATATTTGTGCACAGGATGGCTTTATTATAATTTATTGTCGTCATTAGACGTCACAAAAACGGCATAATTATATTAACATACGTGTATACAGTCAGACCTCTCTAAATGTAACCTCTCTTAATGCAACTTTTCTCTAAATGCACAGCAATTGCTCAGTCCCATAATGGGACTTAAGATAATAATAAGTGAACGTTCTATGTTCTGCAATTACAAGCTTTTTTCCGCCCTATCTTTATATGAATGTTTCTCTAAATGCAATTCATATGATTATTGATCTGCAAATTATTACGTAATAAACGTTATAACGCCCTCTATTGTTACATAATTAGACTAAGGAATTTGAATGACCTATTACTATTGTTACTATCGTCTTTGGATTATGTTGTAGGGAGGTAGTTACTTTATAACATTACGTTATCGACTATCCAGAAGAAACTATTACAGAAGTACTTACAGATCAGGAGATCATAGACTTAATCACACATGAAGTTGAAGACGTGGATGATAGTGTAAATGGTTACCCACAAGGAGGCGCTTAACTGTTTAGAAACATATTTTGTGGATTAGTACGTACGATTAAGATTGTAAGACGACTTGAGGACGCTTGTCAGAAGCAAACAATTATTAGGAACTTTCTACAATGATAGATAATTGACCTTTTTTTTAATTAAAAATTTGAATAAACGCAGTCGACCTACAATCATTAATGGTTAATATTAGTACATACATGTATGCGAAGAGGTCACGTGAAACAAAATGATTGGCGTTCTCTAAATGCACGTTCTCTCTAAATGTAAATGCATCGTCGGTCCCGACGACGTGCACTTAGAGAAGTTTACTTTAATTTGTAGCGTAATTTTCTATACTCAATCTATTTTAGATAGAACATTTATTAGAATTGACAGTCTTCTCGAGCAATGCATAAGCATGTTATCACTATGATTAGTATTTATTATAATCTGACACAATCCAGCAGTCGAATATTGCTTTTGCCTAATAGTTATATCTTCGAAAATTCTCTCTGTTTAATTATTCCTTTTCGATTCTGTGGCATAATTATGGTTATTATTATTATATCATAGGTACCCACACATCGATATACCCATAAATAAAAAAGGTTCGCTCGCTGAAGACATTTCAGAAGAAAGAGATATGCCTTGCGTTAATACAGAAACCGCGACCTAAAAAAGGCATCCTGGCGGGGAGTAATATGGAGTCACGCAAAATGCAATTCCTGATATTTGGTGTGCAATAAAGGTAAAGGCTTTCTATCGATCATGATACACTTTTGTCTGAGAAAAAAAAACCGCTATCCTCCCAAGAATTTTGTTTCTGATGTTAAAATAATATTAGAATTGCGTTAAGTGCAGAGGCAATGCTTATTATATGTCAAAGAAGAAACGATCAACAATGGATAGCTTTATAAGTACTGGTTACAGTAACTCATAATATTAATATGTGATAAAATAAAGATTCTCATTTCAAAATAAATATGATAAGTACTTAATTCGTTATACTAATATAATGAGGTTTTCGTAAACAACATTATTATATATTATAAAGAGGGACTCTGATTATAACCATACTTTTTATCCAACAAGTTAATCAGTCACAAGATCCATTATCAGTAAAATTTTTCGTGCATATTAATATACGCGTATATTCAATTACAAATAATTTAAATAATAAGCTTTGTGTGTACACTAAAGCAAATTGATAAACTGAAAAAAAAAACTTTGTAAAAGAGTTATACACCGAATTAAACACGCAGACCTTAATTATATTGTTATTGTAATAGTTTGTTTTATTGGACAAAAATTATATTTAATGTTAATTCAAAAGTCATAATAACTTACAGTAAATTGTATGATGTAAATAATACGACAAAGAAAGTAACAGAACGGTTGAGGACAATTACTAGTTGGTTTAGTGATAAAAAAAAAGTGGTGGATCAAACTGCCGAGAAAATTAACGAACTAATATTAGAAAACAATTTTTTACGCTCTTGGCTTTGAAAACCGCCCCATATCCGCCGCCACCAATGTATAGAACGTCGATAAAGTCATCAAAAGAATAAAACCGAATGTTTTCATCTTCAATATTCTTTCTTAACCACTCTTTGTCAGACCGATTTGACGCCATCTTGCTGCCATTGCTAAGTCTCCGGAGTTTGCAACTAATATATTCATATCACTTTTTTGTAAAATTAATAATGGCTCAACTTTTTAATGATGACCGCAAAAAATACAAAGGTTATTGGATTTATTTTTATTCTGATAAATTTGAACCAATCGGCACTAAATCTCACACTGAATTACATATCCACTTTTTTGACAATCAAGGAGAAATAAGGGTGTATTTGTCAGAGGCTTAAACAAGTATAAACATTATAAACCACCATTCCACTTTCTCAAGCATAAAATTTATCATTACACAATAATTTTTCATGTTTAGTGTGAACGCGATGGGCCTATCCTGAGGGTTCTTCTCAGCATCGCTTCAGT